CTCGATTATCTGTTCTAACTCACTGTCGCAGGTCTTAAGATTGAACCATATCGTTGAGTCTTTTAGGCAAACGGGATTTATCGAAATTGTACAATATTTGTAAATTAAGCAAACACAAAGGGACAGGTGATAACCGGCCTTTAATTGATTGTAATGAAAGCTCTGCGGCGACCTGACCCTGCTTCAGATCTGATCGGCGCCCATTCTGACTCATCGGTGATTTTGGCGACGCCTAGCGGATGTCGTCAAGGTTACGTTAGCTAGGTGGCGGTAGGGAGTCACGGGTTGGTCTGGATTGTCGAACTTGTACCAAAATATTTTTTGTATGAGATCGATCTTTATAACTACTGATTTAGAAACTTCGACATCTTGCTCTCTTTCTCACATACATACCAACTCACGCCCCAATTTACTCATCCACTCCCGCACGCGTCCACTCATTCACTCATCACTCACTTACTCTTTCTATCCTTGCCCGTCTGTCTCTCCTACGCATACTCGCATACGCGTCAGATTCAGGGTTATGTGGCGACCTCTCATGGCAGTTTTGGGAACCAGTGTGGCGTATTCCATGCTAGGTGGCACTGTTAGTACTGTCAGCTGCAGCTGAGCAGTGCGCACTGTCGGAGTCTGCACTGAAGGCATTGGATCTTGTAGGTGGCGCTAGTGGTGCTGTCGTCGGTGCGTCTATTGACCTGTTAAGTGTTTAAGGTCATGTTTAAGGTCAAGGGTCATACATTTCCATTTCGTTTGGACTACAGGGTGTTTCACTAAAAGTGTCAAAAAGTAAATGCTCATTAAAGATATATAAAATACGCAAAGCACGTGGTTGCGCACGTGGCTTTGTCGCAAATTTTTGGACATTTATGCTTTGGCCACTTAAGATATATTTTACACTCATACGGAGCGAGGGCAGGAGGCCAAAGTTACTTGTCGTTTTTTTCCCTTATACAGAACAAGAACAGGTTATTTACACCGCAACAGGAGCGGTGGATTACACTTACATTTGGTGTTATCAGAAACATTGAAACCGTACGCCGACTTTTCAGGAAACGTTTCACTCTCTCACCTCGCTACGACCCAGATTATAAAAGTTTCAAAGGGCTTCTTGAGAGGTTTAAAAGGGTTCCTTTGATGCCGGTTCCAGTCCAAAAAAGGCGGGTCGCCCCCACCTCTCGGCGGAAATCGTTGAAAAGGTGAGGGTCTTTTTTAGGGCCTTTTAAGATAACAAGAAGCTTATTTCAACATGAAATAGCCAAGCCCCCAAGTTATCAGAAACAACCACTGTAACGGCTGTAGCCACCAAGAACTGGCTGGACCAGAAGTTCCGTTCCCGGGCCGAATAATCAGCTGCCTCACCGCCCGCCCCTGGCCAGCGCGAGGCCCCGATCTGTCACCGCTAGCCTTCTGGTTTTGGTCAGTAGCTCTCGCAGAGCTGAGGAAGACTCAAGTCGCATCACTTTGGGAGCTGAAGAGCACAATGCAAGGCTTTGCCGACAGTCTGGACGCTGAAGATGAAAACGGGCTGTGAGGCATCTCCGGACACGTGCCGAAACGGTGCATCAAAAGAAGGGGCGGATATGTGGAATAGGTTTGAGTGACGGTGATATCATTTTTATATATTCAAATGTCCAACAATCGCGGATGAAATGATGTGCAAATGTCCATAGAAAACATTGTTATTATGTGCATTAGGACCTTTTACTTTTTGACACTTTTAGTGAAACACCCTGTACAATCGCTCAGTTTAAAGAAAAGCTCACAGGTCCAACATCAGTTAATTAGGGTCTGCATCTCGTTCAGTAAGGTGGCCTGGTGACAATCTGACCTGAACAAAACAAATTCTTCATCCTACATAAATGACGATGAGCTGCGGTAATTTCTGGCTTCCCTCCGTGACCAACTCTAGTTGTGTACAAGCAGGGTGACATTTTGACATAGTCACGTCACATTGAACGGTAACTCGCTTGATGTTTATGATCAATTGTCTCAAATGATGCATCAATTTAACAACCGTAACATTTCTACGTTAATCTTTGATATACCTCGACGGGGGAGCTAGCATCAGTATCAGTAGGTACTGATAATGCTAGGACAGAAGGAGTAATTGATTGACAGGTTACGAACAGCGATAAATTTATAACGATTGAAATGGTGATTCAGATGTGTCGGTTATATATAAACACGAGTCACGAAACGGCTCAATGCTGATTTAATAACGAACCGGAAGGCGATTCAGACTCACAGCGTTCTTGTTCTGGCGCTGAGCTGCCGAAGGAGCAGAATAATGTTTGATGTTTACAATGTTTACTCTCCCTATCCGAATGTAACTGAACACGTTACGACTTCTTGGGCCGCCTTCGTATCAAACCTTGTCCAAATGATTAATTTATCCCACGGACGTGACAATCCTACGCTGACCGTCGATTTATCTCGAAGAGCACTTTGTAAGAATTGAGAATCGATTGATAAGCCTTGGATTAACACTAGACTGATAGTGGATTGAAACGCTGATCTACCGGGACCAGCCAAGTCAGATTGTAGAGCAGCTTATATTGACCTACTAGCAAAAAAAAAAAACGAATTTGTGGTGGTCGCGTCGTGAGGGCGTGATCATTGCGTTTCCGTTGATTCGTGATCAGATCGCCGCGGTGCAGTCCCGGTGAGCCTGTGATGTAATGCCGGCGTAAAGTCGTGTGGTCGACGTGACAACTTAAAGATAATTACGTTAGCGGTCTCTGTGAATCCGGATCAGCAACATATCTGAAGTAACCCTCCCTTCTTTCCCAGACAGAATTGTTAGATTTTCACGCTATATTTACAAACGGACGATACAATACTGGTCCATTTCAACCGGTGTACCACGATCGGTTGTCAGCTCGCCAATGCCAACTTAGCCTTAAATCTAATCCTAACGCCCTAACCGCAAAAAGATTATTTACAAAACATCGCCAATTGAACTGTCATGACGTCATCTGACGTAGTTTGACGCGTCAGTGGTGACCAGCGCCCCAAAATGACACCACCTGACCTGTTCCCCTCCCCTCTAATACATTGAATACCACACCTCACTGCGGCCGGACCGCGCGCGCGATGGCCGACCGATAGCGCTCCCCCCAATACCAATGTAATGGTGAGCCATTAGCCTACACTGACCATTGCTGGCCCGCCCCGGCAGTCCCTCTAACCCCTCTGTCTCTCCCATAGACAAGGCCGGACCAGTCGGGCCCATTAGCCTCTTCCCGCCTTTACAAACAAACGCACCACTGCCGCGCTGCTCGGTCGGGAGCGGAATGTAGCGACCATCTGCCCTCCCTTCCCTGCCGAATAACACTCCCACGATGTTAAATCCATTACCCTCTAATGGTGGCTCAGGTTAGACCCCAGGGAGTGGCATTTGTAATCCAGATCAGAGACATCCGATGGGTAAATGGGAGGTGAATTGTCCATGACGGGGAGGCAGTCTTGATGAGGCGGACAGATGAGATGACTCACTTGACAGTGTTTGATGATTGCTGTCCACTCCAGTTGAAGTCCGGTGCAGTGATGATCCGATCAGCAGAGAGGCCGCTCCGGCCGAAGCCGGGCGGGACGGTGTCCCGCGCTGAGTCCCGAGGCGTTCCGTCTCTGGTGGTCGGCCTCCGGTGGTCGATCTCGGGTCTGACTGCCTCCCTTCTCATTCTCCGCTGAGTTTTGTTCGCCTGTGATTTCCGGGCCGGAGGTTCCGGGCGTCGCCGGGCCTCCCCGACCGGGGCAGAAAATTGGCGACATCCCGTCTCGCATCCGGAGTCGAGACTGTCACCCTCCGCCCTCCATTCCGCCGGAACGTGACGTCATCCTCACTAGCACGGCTCATCCGTCTCAGCTGTCTCCTGCCGGATGACGTTTTCACACTCGACTTTCGCCGGATGTCGGTCCCTGCCTGTGCCGGACGGCTGACCGCAACGACATCCTCCCATCTTCCTGTCAGCTGCGTCGGCAGGATGTGCGTGGCGCCAGGCGTCGGGAGGCTGGTCCAGCACCGGGAGCAGGTGTTTCCGGCTGCGTTGCGTTTGTCGGCGGCCACTGCGCCGGCCCGGATGGGTGTGTTTGTACTCCACCCTTCGGCGAGCCTTTGATCTTCGCTTAATGGTGACCGGCTGACGAGTCGGGGATCGTTTGGTCGACCCCCTCCCCACGCCGGCTCAGCGCCGCGGTAGACAGTGCGGTCGTCCTTACGTATAGAGTGTGAGAGATGTCCTTTTTTGATGTACGGAAAAAATGTTACAGCTTCCGGCTGTTACATAACCAAGCAAGAAGCCAAGTGGCTTCTTTTGGTGTGGTATTGTCCGCTGACATGTCATGACATGTGCTGGTTCAAACTGAACCACTGCCATCAGTCCGATCCTTGGAAAAATTTGAGGGGCATTATTTGAAAACGTGAATGTGGTATTAGAGGGTTAAGCAACCAGTTTTCTGTTCCATGAACTCAGATTATGGTGCATTTGTAAAATATCCACGACAGTTAGGATAAATGATAACAACAAGTCAAATGTATATTTATTATGCGCGTCTAAATATACATTTGACTTGTTATTGTTATCATTTATCCTTATGGTGCATTCTCTTTCAGGTCACAACATCCACTAATGATCCAAAATTCTACCATGTACCCTGCAATATCTGCGTCTCCCATCCCCAGTGATTTGGCATGTGACGAGCCTCTAAAGATTCCTATGAAAAACAAGGTCTATTTACCAAAGAGTGTTTATAAATAGAACGTACTACCGATGATACCAAGCATACGCACTTCAATGAAACGATATGAACATTTTAATTTCATTGCTGAAACCGATTTCGATGAAACAATACGATGTTTTCCAGAACAACACACAAGACCAAAGTTCATATAAAGCAGTTAAACAAAAAAGGCTTTCCGAAGCTAAATACGACTTTTCCCAAATCGAAAACAAGCTAGTAAGAGTACAGGCCAATGAACGCTTGCATCTGCTGCGGTGTTTTTAGAGTGTATTTGTGGGTCTAATTCTCATGGTGGTGGCGTTCAGACTGTACCATCCCTTCCAGTCTCTCCACGTGACGGTATCATGGGTTGTTGACCCAGGGTCGTACAGTCCGTTGAGGTTGGAGTCGCAGCAGCTGTTATACCACCAGGCCCCATGGTAGTTAGATGAACAGTTACCCGACCAAAGATCATTGTCTCTGTCAAATGTGGAGAACTTCATCCCCTTGTGATAGGTAAGACTGTCTTCGGCGTTCCCGAAGTAGTCGCCAAAGTCAATTCTGTATCCCTCATCCTCAGACTCGATGGTGAACTTCTGGTAGGTGGCGTACCTCGTCTGTTCGTCCCAATCCCAGAGGTCGACCCGTAACTCGTAAACGCGGTCCAGGTGGGAGGTCAGCTGCCAGAGGTGGTGAAGTCCCCACCAGAATTCTCCATCGAAACTTCCCAGGCCCCACTTGTAGGCGCCCCAGTCCTTGTAGAAATCCTGTCTTGGTGAAATATCAGCTCTTCTTTGGAAGACGGTCCATCCCTCGCCATCGTCCATGTCACAATAGGCCGAGGTCGGAGTGAGACGATCAGGGTGGATTGTATATACTCCGCTGGGGGAACCGAAGGGCAGGTCACTGCAATCGCGTGCAAATGAATACTGCAGGGACGTACCGTTGGTGCCAGAGTTTTGCTCAGCGCCCAGCCCAGCGGCGCATGTCAGCAGCGATAGAACGCAGCCGACCGCTGGGAGTCGTGACAGCAACTTCATGGTGTTGCAGGAGGGCGTCCTGTGCTGTCCTTGGAGAAGCAGTCGTCTCTGCTGAAGGTGTATTGTCGCTCCGGCCCTATATACCACCTCACAGCTGGCTGGCTCACATACATTCCCCTGATACCGTGCATGACAACAACTGTTGCAGCATTATCTAGCTGCAATGTAGTGCGCAGTAGGGCAGGGCCGGGAAGTGGAACACATGTGAGCAGGGCTGCGGAGTCGATGGATTTTCGGCGACTCCGACTCCGACTCCGACTCCGGCTTTCAAAAACCAGCTCCGACTCCGACTCCGACTCCGGGCAGAATTGTCGACTCCGACCGACTCCAACTCCCGACTCCGACTCCGCAGACCTAGCAGGGCTGCGGAGTCGACAGATTTTCGGTGACTCCGACTCCGACTCCGGCTCGGGTTTCTAAAATCGACTCCGACTCCGACTCCGACTCCGGTCACAACTGTCGACTCCGACCGACTCCGACTCCGACTCCGACTCCGCAGCCCTGCATGTGAGGCTCTGTCAATGCCGACGGCGCCAAAATTCGTGGCATTGAAGCGCTATCTTGCAGTGGGAGTGGCTTGAGAAATCGTCATCTGCAATGTCTCAAGAGTAGGTAATTGATATCGTCAGGGATGCTGTGACTTAGAAGTTAGAGTGTAGATGAAAAGTGACAATTTATAAAAATAATCCCTATGTCTCTTTCTGTCTTTGCCTCCTCTCTCTCTCTCTCTCTCTCTCTCTCTCTCTCTCTCTCTCTCTCTCTCTCTCTCTCTCTCTCTCTCTCTCCCTCTCTCTCTCTCGTTTTCTCTCTCTTTCTCTCTCTCTCTCTCTCTCTCTCTCTCTCTTTCTCTCTCTCTCTCTCTCTCTCTCTCTCTCTCTCTCTCTCTCTCCCTCTCTCTGGATGAATTTGAATTTGAACATGAATTTGAACTGGACCAGTTTAATAAACTTAATAAATAGTCTAAATGTCGAGGCCGAGAAAGAATATTATTCAGCTAAATTTTCAAGTAGTATGGTAACGTTTGACAATAAATGGAAAGATCTTAACCCGCGCCCCAGTGGCGGTCTCAGCCAACTTCGCCCTAGTGAGGGGGGGGGGCATATGTTACCACCCACCTCTAACTCAAAAACTAAGAGGGCTAGAAAGACGCAGTAAAAAGCAGTCGATAGCTCTCAACGCGTACGTTTGAAAGTATTTCGGTCATTTTTCACCTTAGAGCAATATTGGTGTCACCAGAGGTCATCAAAGGTCAAAATTTGCCAATTGTCATTATATTTTTCAGAAAACATGCCGCTATCTCAGGAACTATGGTAGCTAGAAAAACGCATGGAACAGCAATCGATAGCTTTTAAACTCTTCTTTTGAAAAGGTCATTATCAATATTGACCTCAGGTCAACGGTTTAGCCTCCAGAGGGCAAAAACTCCAAAAATAGCTGTTTTTACGAAAAGTGTTTTTCGACAATAACTTTCGACTACAAAAAGCCACGACATTTCTATTTCCAGAATCGTGTTCCCCTCGCCGAGACGCGTCGAATGGACTATAATTTGACCTTGAAAGGTCAACTTGAAAATTTGACCTCAGGTCAAGGTCATGACCTTACCGGAAAAGGTCATGTTGCATATCAGTCGATGCGTCTCAACAAGACAAACACAATGAGACCATCCCCAGCGTTCTATCTCTTTCCAATCGCGAGTTATTGGCAAAAAAACTGTTTGTAGCCTCAAGTGACCTCGGATGACCTGTCTAGAGGCTATCAGCAAAAATGACACCTTGGTCATCACGAGTGGACTAAATCATTGTGATTCTGAAATATTTGGACTGTTCCGATGCGTACACACGGATCTAGAGGCATTTTCATTTTTCTCCATTGACTTGTAATGGAAAGGTCACGCCACTGACCTGACCTTAGATCACGGATATAAAAAATCCGAGGTATACAAATTGTAGGCGCCCATAACAGCATGCAATCCACCAAGTTTCAAACCTTTCTGACAAACACTGCAGGCTGGACATGATTGTTAACTTTTTTTTAGGCTTGGTCAGTAAACTTGACCTGGTGACCTGACCTGACATAACCTGGGGTCAAAAATTTCACACATTGTCAAAAATTGATGTACCAAAAGCTACCCCAAGCGGCGCGGCGCTACGCGCCGCGGTTTTTTATTCACACGCAAAAAACGCGACAGGGTGGTAACATATGCCCCCCCCCCCACTGGGGCGAAGGTTAACCCGCGCACCGACGGGGGGGCGGATATCCGCCCCCCCCCCCTGAGGTTTTTCGCGAATAGCGAAATTTGGTATGACTATAACCTCATCAATTTTACACATGGTGTGCAAGTTTGAACCTCCTACCTTTTAAGGTCAGGTCACCAGGTCACTTTGAATGACCCAACCTCAAGTCACTTTTTTGCAACTTTGTCACCGTGCCAGAGCTACAGTAGATGTCGGAGGCCTTTGAAAGTCGCAGGATATTATTAGGTCATTATAGTCCATTTTTTTTCAAAAGGCTCATGGCCCGAAGTATTATTTTGGAGTTGGCACGTGCGAGACGCTAGAAAATAACGCAAGCTGAGATGAATTTCTTGGCCATTTTTGAAAGATAAGTACAGTCAGGCCCATGTCACTCCACTTTTGATGACATCATAAGGGGGCCTCAGGACAATAATGGCGCGGTGCGCCACAATCGTTTCAAAGCTACTTGCCAACAGTTGCCATTTTCGAAAATATTATTTTGAAATAAAGTTACAAGTAATAAAAATATTGTAATAAAGTTGTTGATTAAATCGATACCATGTCTAAAAACTAAAAACTTACTGAAAAATGATTTATTCATAGTAAAAATATAAGCTCGTTGCGTTTTTACGTTGTTTTCCTGCAACTGCAGAGGATTTTTAAATCGTCTATATCTTCAAAACCGGCCATTTCTTAGCATATTGTTGCTCTTTTTTATCGCTAGAAAATTAGTTGGACTTTCCAATGACATCAACGGTTGAGCGATATGTGTATAGTGTCACCAACAATCTTCAAATGAAGTTAGCCATTTTTACGTTGTAAAGGAATGGAGTACCCCTTGCGAGCATCAGGGATGACGTCACTCAGGATCTGTCTCTGATTGGTCGGCGGAGGAGTGACTGTACCTTCTATAGATGGCCTTGAGTACAGTGCAACGGAGCAAGTTGTTCAATTTAGCTTATAAATCGTGTCACATTGCAGAATGTTAGTATATTCATAGATTTAGCCATTCTGTTGATTTTGCATGCAAATTTAACGTCACTCATAGAGTAACATTGATTCCACAGCCAGCTCATCACTTGAGAAACTAGCAAGCGGCAAATCTTTAAACATTCAAGACAGAATCTGTCGGGGGCCGGAATTATGAACGGCAAGCTCATGGAAAACATGTAATTGTTAGCTACTGAAGCTGGTGACGTTCCATATTGTTGTCTTAACTCTTACATTGTGTTGTCGCATGCTACGTACAAACTTCAGTCGCCTTTTAAGTCTTTCCAGATTTAGTAGGCGCATACCCGACTTCTTCCCAATGCAGAAATCGATCGATCAGCATTGTAATAGATCGGCAGATATGCTGGCTCATGTTTCTTTTTGTACTCAACAGAAATAAACGTAAAACAAAATGCCAATCGGTGTGTTACTTTTGTAGGTCAGCAAACAGGTCATCCACGTGATTATCTTAATAATTTGTTTAGTGCCTATGGCTAGACCCCGTGTGGAAGCATTTTCGATTCACAGTTCCTCATTATGAGCCGTATGTCTATACTTTTTCCAAACTATCCGCAAGTCAGAGACCAGCCGACCCAGCCAACCTGTCTGATTTCGAATCGTGCCAAGCCGGTGTTCGTTGATTTCTGTAAAAACCACCACTTTGCACGTGACAATTCTAAAATCGATTTTCGGGCCGTGCGCCTTTTGAAATAAAATGGACTTTTGTGTATCTCGGAATTTTGATATCGGTGACCTAAGGTCAGGTCAATTTCGCGACCTCCCCATTATAAGTCAATGGGGGAAAAATCAACTCCCCGTTTTTACCACTAAAACGGGTCGGAATGGCCCCATATACCATACATGACTTCATATACGATCAACCTTCACTACCTTGAGGTCTGTTTTGCTGTTGGGCAGCTGTGAGGTCATGTGACGTCATCAAAGGTCACCAAAGGTTTTTGGCCAATAACTCCGTACAGGAACAAGATACAGACGCGTGGATGGTCTCATTGTGTTCAGCTCGTCAAGACGCATCGAATGATATACATGATGACCTCGAGGTCACGTGACCTGAGGTCAACCTTTGCATGGGTGAAACTTTGACATTACCATTGGGGTCCCAAACGTCCAAGGGGGCCTCCATTTAGTGGGGGGGGGGGCCTCCAATCGTGGAAGCGGTAATTTACGAACCACGCCAGGGCCTCCTCTAAGAAATTTGCACTGGGGGACCAGAGGCTCAGAAGCCAAACCCAGAGTACCCTCAAATCCAGTTTTCTCATCGGATTTAGGCCACTTATTTTTCGTCACAGCTCGGATGCCATGATTTAATTTTTTAATATTAATAAAGAAATGATAGGTCACCTGACCCTACTGGTGGTTCCAGGCCAGCAGGGTGACATTGTATGTAAATTTCCCCCGCGGCGTCCGAAATCGACGAAAATTTCTGGCTTTTTCACTTACGACAATAAAACAAAATACCTTTATTATAAAAAAAGAATTTAACTGCACAGCATTGCGCAAGGAATATAACCGACCCCAGAAAGTGTGAGGGCTAACCCTCGC